AAAAATTGAATGCATTAATCGGCGGAATCGAGCTCTTTAAAAGTATCAAATTTTTAATATCATAGCTTTATTCGTTATTAAGTTATTTCTAATACAAGTTGAAATAATTGAAATGGGACACTTGCTTGACCTGGGACACTTGCTTGTCCTGACTGTGACCGAGAGCCCGCAGGTCACAAAGTCAGTGCACTGACTGAGAGCCCGCAGGTCACAAAGTCAGTGCACTGACTATTACTTCTTAGCCTGAGAAAAGCCGAATTCGTAGTATTTCAAAAGAAAGCACTCCGTCAAAACGCAGAGCAATAAAGATATCGCAAGAAGTAATATCACATGCTATTCAAAATAATAAACCGACTCATTATCCATCATTCCAGACCCCGTACTTATACTTGTACGTGAAAGCGTCTAAAATGAGGATAGATAGATTGATTGATAGATTGATTGATAGATAGATAACCCAGCTCCAATTCCAACTCCGATTCCAACTCCAGTTCCAAGTCCAACAACTCCAACGAGCATTTTATTCTATAAGGAGATGATGTGATAAATATATCTATATATATACCGAGAACGCCCCATACTGCGCCAGCTCGCTCGCCACGATGGGCTTCAAACCGGAAACAGATAGACAAATGAATAGACGCCTGCCCGCCCACTAGCTAGCTAGCCGAAAGTCAGACTAGACGCTATAGAGAAGAAGAGAAGAACAGTCTAGCGAAAAGAAGAGAAGAGGAAAGAAGTAGAAAAGAGGCTCATCGTTGACTCATTCATACATGTTGTGTAGCGGTTGTTGTCAATGTTGATGTTGATCCTGACGAGCCAACAACTCCGGACTATTCCAATTCCTCGACAGGGCCTGTAGCTTCCGCTTGATGCCATCGCTCACTCGCAGTGCCACGCCCTGGTCCAGCAACGAGACGCAGTGCGTTAACACGACATCCGGCTGCAGCGCCACGTGCCGGTCCCCGTTCGACAGCACCGGCACGCCCTCGCCGTTCCAGAGGTACGCCATGACGGCCCGGTCATCCGGCATCACGGCGTCAATGGCGAACATGGGCCCCTTCTCCGCCTGCCCCGGCGGATCCACGCGTGACAGGCTCACCACCCACAGAACCAGCGCGGCGCGGTAGACGGCCGTCGCCCACCAGTGGGGCCTGCCGTCCCGCGGCATGGAAACCACCAGGCGGAGGACCTGCCCGCAATGAAAAAGTGCCTCCTCGGGTTGGTGGACGCCGAGCCGGCACCGGGCCGCGAGCTGCTGACGCGAGCCATCGAAGGCCTCCCGGCGCGCCAGGCGCTCGATCTCCGGGAAGGCAGTCACAGCGTTGAGGCTGATGAGGTGGTAGAGCACAAGGTTGGCACGCGTAACGGGACAGCCCGGGTCGGCCTTGGCGTGCGCCTCGCACAGCTCGTACCACGTTTTCAGTAGGGACTGTACTTCCTCCAACCGGAGCGTAGTGCTCGCCTTGGTGACCGTACGAGTACCCCGGCGCCCGCCGGTGAAGGCGTCTCCGAAGCAGTGCAGGACCTGTTGCAGGTGGCAGAGCAGCGACTGCAGCGGGTGGAGCAGGAGCTTGAGCTGCAGCGGCGAGAGCGGCTCGGGGCGGTGGCCGAGGTGATCGTGCAGAAGGTCCTGAAAGAGGTCGCAAAGCGACGGAGTCAGGGGCCGGAGCTCGAGCGCGTTGGGCGACGTCCAGCCCGAGTGCGTCTGCTGCAACGCCGCGAGCCACTCGGTCGAGTCTTTGGCGAGCCAGAGACGTTCCATTCCTGGCATCGGGTTCTGCAGTTCCGTGATCAAGAGGATGGGCGCCGTGTCGTGAAACAGCGACAGCTCTTGGTCGACCATGACCCAGTTGTACACGAGCCTATCGAGTTGACTCCGTTAGCATTTTTCCAGCAGAAAGTGAGAAAGTAGCTTATGACCGTTGCCGACCGAAGTCGGCCGCCTCTTTCAGAAATCAAATACGGGGCATGGGTGTATATATACCGGTTCTTGCTCTCTTGTTGCTGCCACGCTCGCCACTGAAGTTCAATGTTCGACGGATCCGTCAAGATGGTCTTGGGGATCACGGGCTCCAGCATGCCGGCATGCTTCAGCATCTACACTTCCCTTAGCCGACGAACAAAAAAAAAAAAAAAAAACAAAAATTCAAAATACCGATAGATACATCCCGCGCTGGCCCATAGCAATGTTCATATGCCACGCATCGCCACTCCACGCGCCGAGGATGGTAAACAGCAAGGCGCATCTGAGGACGACAGGATCCGCCGACAGCTCGACGTCCTTCTCGATGATGTTAAAGAGGGAGATGCGACAGGTCTCGGTCAAGCCGGCCGTGAGACATCTCGCCTCAGACGTTTGCACGGCCGTCGCACCGCTCGCAATCATCAACAGGAGGAGGAGAGTCGAGGCTTGGTTGTTGAGCATCAGCTCGTTAGGATCGAGACTGCCGCCGTTAATCAACGTGTAGTAGGGCGCCAGACTCCGCACGTAACTCCGCAGGAAGAACTCCAGGACCTTGGACGGCGGGAGGACGAGGAAGTTGAAGTTCGACTGCGGACTTCCTCGGTCCCACGAGACCTTCATGCCGCCACGGTGGGTCTCGAGCGCTGTGTGCAGGAAGCTCTGCGTAATGGCCAGGATACGATCGCGCGTGGTGGGCCCGAAAGGGACCACGGAGATCTGGTGCTTGTATTCCATCTCCGAGGACGCGATGATGCTGTCAAGCATGTTCCAGGTGTTCTCGTAGCGAGAGTGCTGCTCCAGGTTCTCCAGGTGGATTATGGCGGTTCTTGGACAAGCGCCCGAGAATATGGGGCGATTGCAACGGGCGAGAGGCCAGGCTGCTTCCGCGGCAATAACGACTTCGAACTCGGGAATCATCTGCTCGCCGGGACTCAAAGCGTGCGTCTCCACGACTTGGAAGGGTCTCTCGAAATCGGCCTTCGAGGAGATGCTGGTCGATCCCGTGTGCGGCATAGAGATAGAGGTGTGCAGCGACGCCGAGATCATCGACTCTGTCATCTCCATGAACGGTGGGGCCAGCTTGCCGCTCATGGGATTGGGATATATCTCGAGCTCGGAGGGGTACGGGTTCCACATCATCAGGTCTTGATAGTTGAGGTCGCCGCTCAGCAGGTCCTCATCGCTCATACACATAAAGCTGTCCATCCCACCGCCGACGCTCTCGCTTGGTGAGGGGTGGAAAGGCGTGTTTCCGAAATTGAAGGGCACCGTCGGTTCCGAGTAAAGAGGAGTAGTGATGGGCCGGGGGCTGCTTTGTATCTGGGTGCTCATCGGACTGGCAGCCGCCAGGGCTGGCGGAGTCTCAACCTTGGGTTCCCGAGGCGCCAGACGGTTCGCCAGTACGGGAGATCTGTTCTGACGCTGGGAGCTCGACGCATGGGAGAGACCCTGAGATCTCATGGAAGCTTTCCCCGAACGTCGAGCGAACCTGGCCTCGCAAGGTAAGTTCTTTTCCGCACACCGCGAACACGGCACCGCCTTGTCACATCCTGTCTTCGCGCTGGCACAGTTGAGACATGCTATCGGAGTTCGTCCAGCTATCGACGGCACGGGTCCGGTCGCGGGTGCCATGGGGTCTGTGACTTCGTGGTAGGTGAAGTGGTGTCGTTGGAGAAGATCTCTGTGAGGCTGGCGTTAGGCTTTCATGCTTGAGCTTGAGGGTGATGTTGAGGTTTGGGACCTGGGTCGGCATACCTTCTGGGAAACGATAATTGACAAAGAGTGCAGCGATGAGGTTTTACATTTGTATCTGGGAAGGGTCTGTTAGAGACGGATTCCCAAGGCACTTGATACTACGCTTTGGGGACGGCTATGGGTCGTAGTATATGGGGAGCAGCTCACGGCTCGGTATGTGTCTCTCGAGGTGTTCCTTGCGGGTGAAGCTCTTGCCACAGTAGGTACAGAAGATCATGATTCTTTCGATGCCGACTTCTTGCCAACTGCTTGCCCTCAACGATTTGTTGATATTCTCGAAAGGCGGCCAATCAAAAGCTTGGGACTGGGTATGTGTATGTATATCTTATTCCTGGTGGTCCTGTGATGGGTGGGTGGTAGGCGAGCAGGGCTAGGTTGGGAACGACGGAGGGTATATTGATCGGATTTGCCGAAGTTACGGTCGTCTGTCGACAATCTTGGATATCAAAGATCTGTGACTGACTCTTCGAAGGTTTCTGGATAACGCACAATGGCGAAGACGGTAGTGTGACTAGGGAGCGAATGTAGTGGTTTTGGGACCAGCAAAACAACAAGGTCGGTTGATGGAACAGGATACGTACTCAGCCAGGATCGGAAATACCTCTCGCATCAGCACGACCCAGATGAGACGGAGTATCTTCTCAGCCCACTGTGGTCAGGACGCGATTCGATGGGCACAGGGTCAAGATAGGCAGACAGACAGGCAGACAGAAAGACAAACAGACAGATAGATAAAAAGACCGACAGAAAAGAAGGTGGCAGCACATCCAATGGATCGGGCCTGTTTGATCATTTCGCCATTTGCTCGCAACGCCCGAGCTTCCAATTCTCCAGCTGCAGCCCCCTTGCCGTGCCACCGTAGGACTGAGGTTCGCATTTCGTTGTTTACTTTTCACAAGGCCCGAGATGGCAGTCCCAGCGGTGGACTGGGCTTGCGCGGCTAGCTAATAGTAGCAACATTACAGTTACTAGCTAGTTGACTTAGCTCACTCGGGCCCTGTCCTGTCTGTGCGTTCGCCATTGGCGGCGGAATGAATCAAAAGATACGATACACTTAACGATAGGGACTTCGGTACACACTCCATGCACCTCTCGGTGATGGAGAAGGAGGAGGGACCACCCACCGGCACACTGGTGCGGCGCCGGCGATGAAGGGGCGTGGAGAGAGCTTGAGCTTGAGCTTGAGCTTGAGCTTGAGCTTGAGCCTGAGTCCGAGTCTGAGTCTGAGTCTCAGCCCGACGCCTATCCTAGGCCTGATCCTGATCATCATCATCGTCGTCATCGTCATCGTCATCCTGATCATCATCATGATCTTGATCATGATCCGGGTACAGCAAGTAACGTTGGCTCTTTCTCTCGCCCGAATCTTGCTTGGAATAAGTAAGTGAAGCGAATTTCTCCCGCTGGTTCCGGAGCTGCGCTACCACCCACTCACTACCTATCCGTAGGTATCGATCGGCTTTCTTTAAGGTCTACCTGCTGCTGCCGCTGCCGCTAGGGAATGTACAGCGCCTATTGTGTGCCGCCAGCGCGATCCATTTTCTCCCCCAGTGCCCCAAAGAGGCCTAAGCTCGCTGGGAGTCCAGCCTATTCGGGCATCGCAGACCCCCCCTGGGCCCTGGCTCAGGAACCAGGTCACACTAACACCAACTCCCGCAAAGCTCGTGGCATTTTCCGCTTCTATTTCCATTTCCATCGAAGAACTTCATCCGACGTACATGAGGTATGACGCTGGTCGTCTGGCACGGTGCCATACCTTTGGCCTTTTCTTGACTTGGGAGCCATCGCATCGCTGGATTCTCGGTCACCCGAGAAAGAGTGCGTTACATAAAAACATACAATCACACATGGTGCATTACTGCGCCGCCAGTGAGTGAACGGGTGGCAGAGAGAGAGAGAGAGAGAGAGAGAGAGAGAGAGAGAGAGAGAGAGAGAGAGAGAGAGAGAGAGAGAGAGAGAGAGAGAGAG